GCAAGGGCTACCGCGGCGTGGTGTGCGGCTGGGACATGGGTTGCTGCGAGGGCGCCGAGTGGCGGGAGGCGGCGGGTGTCAGGTGCGGCGGCGGCCTCTCCCTGGGCACACCTGCCTCCCTGCCGCTGATCATTCATCACGCAGTGGCGCTTCCAGTGCTGGCCACCGCCAGCCAGCGCGCTCCAGCCCGGCAGCCGCCCCACCCCTTCCTGCTCACGCACCGCGCCCCCACGCGGACGCCTCCCCGCCCCCGCCCCCTGCCCGCCGCGCAGCGAGCTGGCCCACGGCGCCGACCAGCTGTTCTATCACGTGCTGGTGGACGCGCGCGACTGGCCGCTGGATGGCGACACCCCTCCCGTGGCGTATGTGGCTGAGGAGTGCCTCACAGCCGGCTCCTCGGCAGACTTCTCCTCCGACCAGCCCCTGGTGGTGAGCGCGCTGCTGCAGGCAGCAGCACATGGCTGGGCGGCTGCCCGGGTGGCTGCCTGCCTGGTCAGGAAGGCAGCCACCCCTGCAAGCGCGCAGCGGGCCGAGCATGCCAGCCCGCCAGCCCGCCAGCCCGCCAGCCCTTGGTGCCGTCCCACCCCGCCCGCCCACCACCCTGCGCCTGCCCTTCCCCTCCCCGCCTGCAGGACGGCTCCTTTGAGCACCCGGTCCGCCGCTGCCGCCGCGCCACGGGCCTCGCACTGCCCCTGCCCTGCCGCCGCGTAGCCCGGCCTGCGTGTGTACGCCAGCTGGCCAGGGCACGGCTCCTGACCCTGGCGATGCCTGCCGCCTCCCTCTGCCCTGCCACACCTGCAGTACTCGTACCTCCTGTTCCTGGGCGCCGACGGCCAGGGCAACATGGTGCCCGCCCGCCAGCTGCGGGACAAGTACTGCGTGGGGCGGCGGGACGTGTATGTGCCTGGTGAGCTGCCGGCGCATGCGGTGCGGGGGCAGGGGCGCGCAGCGAGGCGCTGAGCCGCGGCAAGCACATCGCGCTGCTGCCAGCTTGTGTGTTTCTGGCGGTGGCGTGGCACGCGCCGGCCGCCGGTTTGGAAGCTCGCCTGTCCCACACCGGTGACCGCTGCCACATACGTGCAGGCGACAGCCGGTGGGAGGAGGACGAGGACGAGGGGGAGGGCGGTGGCAGCGGCGGCAAGGGGCCAGAGGGGCCCGAGCCGCCGCGCGGCGAGGGCGGCGCGGGGCGCCGCAAGATCCCCGGCATCGACATGAGCAGCCTGGACTGAGCCTGATGAGGCTGAGGCCTGCTGCCACCCGCGCACAGACCCGCGCGCCACACCCCCTGTACTATGTGCCCACACACCTTGCCCTTTCAGCAGCAAGCCACCCCACCACACGCCTTCTGTTCATGCGCGACCGTGCATGGTGGCGCCCCCGCCGAGAAGACGAGATGAAACGACGATCCCCGCCATATCTTGCAAATCTGCACCCTCCCTATCCCTTGGTTTTGCTCCCCTCCGACTATGTTTTCCTCTCCTCCATTCACTTGCCATAACCACCCACGCCCGCCGCCGGGGTGGGCTTTCGCTCCATTTCAAGCAGCACCGCTGTGGCTTGACGACCAGCATGTACCCGCCCCTGCCCCTGGCTGCCAGCTGCTGCGAGCCCCACCTCCTCTTTCATGATCGGATCCAACTGTGGAGAGTTTTTCTTTGGCGAGGCTCGCCGGCCCCCTGGGCCCCTGCGCCTTCCCAGCCCTCTACGCGGCTTTCATTGCAGCAGAGCCTCCCGCCGGCCCTGTCTCCACTGAACTTGAACTTGTCTGCATCTCTCGTCCCATTGCCAGTTTGCCCCTTTGCCCCCAGCACTGCACGAATAGGCCAGAGTGAGAGGCCACTACTGCGCTGTGCCCGCGCTGTCGTAACTGCCGAGTTACAAGCCGTAGCAAAACAGCGCCAAAAATCAGGGGGTACCGCAAAACTGGGAACAGCAATGCCAAGGGTCCAGCCACGGAAAAAATAGCCAGCATCTTCTCTCAGGTGCGTGCAGGCTGCCCGCCGGCCAAGCGGTGGCGGGCAGTGCTGGCAGCACGGCAGGGCTCGGAAAGGGGTGGCGGGACGAATCTCGGCGTAGCAGCTCCCAGCACAATGTGTGCCGGGCTGACGCCAGCCAGAGCGCCACACCCCACCAGGCCTGCCACTGCTCAGCGGCCGCGGCCCAGGAACCTCTCAGCATCGTCCAGCTCCTGCAGGTGGCGGCTCAAAGGTCGGACCAGGCCAGGTGGTGGCAGGGGAAACAGGGATGGTATGCAGCAAAGGTGGGCAGCCCTTGGAGCGGCTTGCCGGCAGCTGGCGGGCCCCCGCCACCGCCCCCCGATCCCCGCCCGCGCCCCCCTGCTCACCTTGACCAGGCGCTCCAGGCGCTTCTTTGGGATGGGCGCGGTGGCGCCAAAGGAGTTGAGATGGCCCGCCATGGCGTTGACGGCGGAGTAGGTGTTGCCGTACGAGGGGCGGCCGGAGAAGGCGGTGTCGCGGCGGTAGCGCGCCACCCAGTCGTTGATCTCCTTGCGCACCGACTCCATCGTCTCCTCGCGCCCGGGGGCGCCGCGCTCCAGCAGGGCCGCGTTGCGCACGTCCGAAATCACCTGGCCCTGCAGGGGCGGGCGGGTGGAGGGGGGGGTGCGCAGGCGTGCGCCGGGGGAAGGCGGGGTGGGTAAGCGAGGGTGGTGGTGGAGATGGAGCGGCGCCGACTTCCACAAACATGCAGAGGCAGGCCTTGGGTCTGGCATTCCAGCGGGGCTGCCAATGCCATGCGCTAGCGTGGAGCCAACACCCGATCGGTGACCAGCCGAGGCAGCGGCGGCCGCTGCGGCTCGGCCCACACTCGGGCTGCCACGCTGCCCAGCCCACCGCGGCTCACCGTCTCCTTCTCGTAGCGCTGCTGGGCCTTCTCATTGCCAAAGCCGAACAGCGCGTGCGCGGGCTGCGGGGCGGCGGAGAGGGCCGCCAGCGCCGCGAGTGCTGCCAGGCCCGCCTCGCGCCGAGTCACGCCCTCGCTGCGCTGCTGCTGGGCCAGCGTCACCACGGCGCGGCGGTTGGGACGGGCAGGGCGCCCGCAAAGCCTGCATCACGCAACATGTGCGCTCATAACCACAGACCGTGCCTCCGCTATCTCTGCACCCGGCCATGAAGCGGTTTAAGGGCGATGCAGGCTGGTTTCAGCTGGCGGACCCCCTCACGTTGCCTGAAAGGCGGTGGCAGCAGTGCAGGCCATCATCGCTGGGTCTCCAACACGCAGCCGAGATTACAACAGGTCTGTGGCGTAGGTCCAAACACGAGTATGGCAGCAATGGGCTTGCCGACTGGCGGGGGACGGGGATGCCATCGCTCGTAGTGCTCGTCCTGCGCGGCCCTCAAACCACTTCGCAGATGGCCACAGGTGTTGATCAGCACGCCCTGTCTGCTTCCACACGGCCCCGATCTTGCCCATGGGTCAGTTGCAGCCGGGTGTTTGAGCCGTCGCGTCCCTCCCCTCGCCTTCACAACGCACCCCGCGCCTGCCCGCCCTCTCCTCCCTCTGGAAAGCGCTAGCGTTGGCAGCAGAGCGGCTAGCGGCCCGGGTCCTGCACGCTGACAGCCGGGAGCAGCTGTTTAACACCGCGCCGGCACACCGCGCTGGCACCTGCCTCCCTTGGCCTGCCGCTTGTTTCAACACCGCTCCAATCGAACCAGCATGGCCAAACGCCAGCTCCGCGAGCTGCAGCGCCTGATGGCGTGGTCATGGGACAGTCGGTGAGTGCGGCGCAGCTGGCGGGTGGCGTCGAGCAGGGATTCACACCGTGCACGTTGTCACGCCCCTCCTTCTGCTGTGCTCCTGCAGGGTGGACGAGCATCCGCCTGGCGAGAAGGCCATGCACGACTTTGAGAATGTGCTGACTTTCCAGCTGGACAACCGGCGCCGCCGCACCACGCCCGCCTCCAAGGACGTCGCTATGGCGGCGGCAGCAGCTACAGACAGCCCCGCGCCGCCCGCCGCTGCTGCCGGCGCCACCAGCAGCGCTAAGCAGCCGCGCAAGGCATCTGCCGAGCGCAGCGTCAAGCGCGCCTCGCCAGCGCCGGGCTCTGGTGACACCGAGGCAGCGCACAAGGACAGCGCGGCGCCTGTTGCAATAGCAGCAGCAGATGGCCTGGCAGCCGCAGGTGGGGTCGCAGCCACCAGCCCTGCGGCAGCTGTGGAGGCCACACCTGCTGCACGCCACCAGCCGCCGCTGCCGCAGCTGAGCCCCGCGCCACCAGCGTCTTGCTCTGCCGTCACCCCCGCCGTGCTGCTGGCGGGCGTGGAGCAGACGCCTGCTACCGTGGCCGGCCCTTTCAGGTGAGCAGGGCCACGGCTGCCTCCCACGCTGTCCCTCCTCGCCACTCAGCACACATCGTGTCCCCTTCCTTGACCAAACCCCGGCTGCAAGCACTGGCTGATACTGCCATTCCTGCTCCTCTTGTTGCCCTGTTCCCCCTGGTTGCAGCGGACCCACTAGCACTGGACACCCGGCAGCAGCGCTGGCAGATGCACACTTCCTCCCCACCCCCGCCCCCACTCCGCTGCCTGTGGTCGGCGCCCCATGCCCGCTCAGCAGTGCAATGCTGCTGCCTGGCTCCTGCGGCCTGTCTGCCGCTTTGGCTGAGGCAGGTGTGGAAGCAGCCTCCGCAGCGGCAGCCGTGCATTTCAGGCAGCCTGCCCCCCGCGCAGTGCTGACCAGCAAGAAGCGCAAGGCTCAGGATGCCCTGGGGCAGGGCCTGGTGCACGGCGGCAGCGCAGCAGCAGTGCCCGAGCTTGGTGTTGCGGATGCGGCGGCGGCAGCAGCGGGGGCTGACGACCTGCTGGCCATAGCTAGCAGCCCCCCAGCCCCGGCCTCGCTGGCCAGGAAGCGCACCACCTCTCCGGCAGCGGCAGCAGCTGTGCCGCCTTCGGTGCAGCAGCGGCCGCAGGGCGACACCGCGGCTGTGCCCATGGACACAGATGATGCACTGGCAGCTGCCACCCCGCCGGCTCAGCCCGCTCTGGCTGGCGCAGCCGCGCCCGCCCCGCCAGTGCAGCCGCTGCAGCAGACCACACCTGACTGCTCCAATGCAGCGCAGCCGCTGGCCCCGGTGCTCGCCAGCCCTGTCGCCACAGCGGCGGCGGCGGCGGTGCCTGTGGCGGCGGCCGAGGTGCCCACGCCTGTTCTGCAGGCGTTTGCTGCGGCAGACCAGCTTGTCTATCACAACCCCCGCCCCTCCTCCTGCCCCCCGCTGTTCAAGCAGACGCCAGGGCAGTCGGGGTTCGTGCCCGCCCGCGTGTCCAGCAGGTGTGTGTGTGCTCGCATCTGGGCTCTTCCCTTGCATCAGGATTCTCTGCCTGCCTTGGCGCTGCCCAGGTGCCCTCCACCCACAAACTCTCGCTCACCTTCCGCCTGCCCTGCTCCTCCCTCCTGCCGCAGGTCTGCCGGCAAGTCCCCACTGGGCAAGAAGCGCGAGTCGCCTGGCGGCTTGGAGGGCAAGGAGAACAGCAGCGTCAACGGGAGCGCCCAGGGCCTGGCGCCGCGCACCGCCGAGCCCGCCATGCCACCGCCTGTAGGCCTGTCTGGCTGGAAGCAGCAGCAGCTGCAGCAGCTTAGCGCTAGCTTCCACAGCCGCCAGCGCCGCCTGCTGGCGCTGCTGTCAGCCTGCAACCGGCTGCAGCAACAGCTGCCGCCAGCTCAGCCGGTGCCGGTAGCCCCTGCTGCCAAGCCGGGCCGCGGCGCTGTCAGTGCAGTCGCCAAGCCGCCGCTGGGCCCGCGGGCTGCCGCCCTGGCCATGAGCCGCACGCTGGGGCGCCTCAAGGAGCAGCAGGCGCTGTGAGGCCTGCGGTGAAGCATTGGCAGGAGCCTGGAGCAGGGCAGCACCTGGAAAGCCACTTGTTCTGTGGGTGCTGCGCCCCTCATTTCACCGTTTACACCTCCCCCCTTCGAATTCATTGCCATATAATCGTTCTGCAATGTTAACATACTACTGCACCTCTCCTTGACCACGTTTCGGTGCAAGCAGCCGCCGCTGGCGGGTCATGGTGGCGGGGTGGCGGCAAGCAGGCGACAGGCGCTTTGCCGCATTCAACAGGAACTGACCCACCAGGCAATTGCATGGTGCAGGACTCCCAGGGCCAGGAATTCCATGCATGTGCTGTTGAATGGCGCCGCCGATCGATTTGAAGAAAGACATTCCGCCCATAAACCCTTCCGACCTTCGGCCTGCATTTTCCGCCTGGGGCTGGGGAGGCTGTCCGCTGGGGCACAGCGCGTGCCGTTCTGCGTGCTGACCCGGAGCGGAGGTCAGCGACTCGTCGTGCCGGCGAGCTAACGGGCCTGGCTATTGCGCGATGGCGCCCTCGGAGCGTTCCTACAGCTCTGCGGGGGCCAGCAGCGAGGGCTCGGCAGCGAGCCACGAGAGCCTGGGCGTGCTGGGCCGCTCCGGGGGTGACCACGATGCCGATGCAGTCCTGCGCGGGCAACAGCAGCAGCACCAAGGCGAGGAAGGGCGCCTGGGATTGCGCGCTTAGTCTGGGGTTGCCGGCCGCCGGCGCCCGCCCGCACCCCTCCCTGCTCAGCGGCTGCTGCGCCCGCTCCCCAGCCCCTGCAGGAAACGTTGTTTGGCGTGCTCTTCTACATTTTCTCCAACAGGTGGCTGCCTACCGACTGGCGCTATGTGCTGCTGGCCACCCTGCTGCAATGGGTCCAGATCCTGATTCTCTTCTTCGGGCCGACGTTTGGCTGGAACGTCGACTGGTCGGGGAACAGGTGCGCGAGGTTGTTGGGGGTGTTGCGGAGCACGCGCCGCTCCGGCTGAGCGCCGCCTTTGACCACACCTGGCTCCGCCCCGTGCAGCTTTTGGCGCTTCTACGTGAAGCTGCAGCTGCAGAATGCCATCACCCAGCGCGGCTTTAAGGTGTATCAGGGCGTGCTGTTTGGCGGCACCGCGCTGGTGCTGCTGCTCCTGGCCATCGTGCTTTGGCTCCACTTTGCCCTCAAGACCAAGCAGAAGTTCCGCTGGCAGTGGTGGGTGGCCAGAGGTTTGAGTTCATGCCACTGTATGTACCAGTTCTCGCATACACCCAACATGTACCTGTCTGCCCCAAGCGCAGGCCCAGCCACCTGCTGCGCATGTGCATCAGCGTGGTGTTCACCAGCCTGCAAACCAGCTACCTCCTGCTCTTCACCGTGGCCTTCAACTGCAACTCCAAGGCCCTGGGCTACACCAATTACTACTTCCCAGACAGATGTGAGCTGGCAGGGCTTGCTGCCTGGGCTGCCAGGCGTGCCTGCAGGCTGCCACACCACGCCCGCCGTGATTCCTTGCACGGAGGCAGGGTGCCTCCGCTGCTGTGCCAACCCTGGCCTGCCTCGCCCCCGCCCTTGTGTGCGTCGCAGCATGCTTCAGCATGCCCCAAGCCGCGCTGTTCGGTGTGTCTGTGTTCATGGCGCTTCTGTTTGAGCTCCTCAGCGCCCTGTTTGCGCTCATCGAGACGGGCGCCACCGAGCCGCTCTCCCCAAACCTCCTCTCCCTGTCTGGTGAGCCGGCGGCGCAAGGAGCGCGGGCAACAGCCATGCCCTGGCCGGCCCTTTCGAGGGCTGTGCTGCAACTTGCAGGAGTCCACGCCCTGGCTGGCCTGCTCAAGGGTCTGCTGGCCTCCCCATCCCTGCCTGCAGCTGGCAACCACTTTATCACCCGCCGCATCATCAAGTTCACCTTACCTCTGGTGCCAGTGGCGCTGAAAACCGTGCCCCGCTGGGAGGTGCGTGGCAGCCGCCGGCGCATCCTGTTCTGCCTGCACCGGGGATCGTGCCATTGCCAGGAGAACACGCCAGCTTGGCTGCTTGTTGACAAGCGTTCAAGGCTGCCCTGGTGCTTCCCTGCTGGCAGGGCTGGATCAACCTGCTGCTCATGTCGTACTTTTTGTACCTCACAATCCGGCGCGTGCCTTACCACCGCTCCTACCTCAACGTCGCCGAGGCCTTCCTGTACTCGTGGTGCTGGTATGCCTCCGGACTGGTGCTGATCGGCATCTACTACCCGCAGGTGACCTGGGAGCAGGGAGGGCAGCTTTGCTGGCTGTAGCGGTGCCACCAGACCTTGCGAGGTGCCTCTCCACCTCCCATGCAAGTACTTCCCCCACCCCTGCCCGGACGCCTGCAGTACTGGCCCTCCCTCACCCTCGCCTTCTATGTGGGCATCGGCCCGCTGGGCCTGGCCTGTGGCTACCTGTGCTGGTGGCGCCTGCAGCGCATGTGGCGTGTGGCCATGATGTTTGAGCGCTGGACGCCACAGCTGACGCGGCGCGAGGTGCACCGCTTCCACGACCAGGAGGAGGTGGAGGTGGTGGCCAGGTGCGCGGTGTGCTAGTGTGAGGTAGCCAGGGCATGCCACAGGCTGCTGGTGGCAGTAAGGATGCCGTTGATGTGGCCATCAATCTGCTGGTGGCCATTAAATCTGAGGGCCAGTGTGTGCTGAACAAAGCCCCGCTGTGCCTCCTCCCCATGCATGCAGGGTGTGCCACAAGCTGATGAAGACCGAGATGCTGGTGTGGGTGCCCATCCCGCTGTGGGTGGCCTGCGCCAGCAACGTGCTGCGGGCTGGCCTGGTGCAGTTCCCCGACTCGGCATTCCTGAACCTGGTGCTGGGCACGTTTGAGGCGGTGCTGCGTCAGGAGCAGTCGGTGAGGCCACGGTCCACTTTGGGCAAGGATGCAGCGCTGGACACATCCTGCTGCTTCTCATCCATCAGCGCTGCAACTAACTGACCAATCACACATGATTGACCCCCGCATGAGCTGCAGGGAGGGCTGGGCTACCTGCAGAAGGCGCGCAAGTGCAGCCGCATCACCATCGCCGAGCGGTTCCAGGTGGGCGATTAAGGAAAGGGTCGGTGTGCAGCAATGCCTCGCAGCACTGCTGGCATGCTGACTCCTTGCGGCCGCTCAGCCGCCTTGCTGCTGTCCCCTGGCCACCTGCCCTGCCCCGCAGTGCTATGTGCGGGAGCAGGAGAAGCTGGCCAAGAAGACAAAGGAGAGCGACAGCTCCGCCATCCTGGATGCCACCAGCTGGGCAGAGTACCAGGCGAGGGGTTAGGGGCAAAGCGGTGAGGAGAGCGGTGGAGCAGGGCTGACGGCAGCTCACCCGGTGTGCTGCCACCTGCAGGCCAACTACCGAGCCGCCATCCGCTCCCACAAGGGCGCCCTGACGGCGCTCAAGTCCTTCTGGAATCTGCTGCTGCACAGCGAGGTGTCCATGCTGCACCTGCAGCGGAACTTCCAGGAGATTGAGCGGACCCGCGCCGCAGCAGAGCGCACATACAAGACCGTCATGGTGGGGCGGGGCTGCTGCTCAGCAGCAACAGGGCTGGCCACACCTGGTTGCAAAGCACTAGCAAGGGCTCCCCACCACCAGCGGCTGTTGATTCTCTGCCTGGCCCCACGTCCTTGTGCCTGCAGGAGCGCTACCCCTCCAACCCGCGCATCATGCGAGCCTACTCCCGCTTCCTGCAGCAGGTCACGAACGACCCACACGGCGCCGCCCGCTACGCCGCCTCTGCCGACCGCATCGAGCAGCGCCAGGTGGGTGGCGTTGGTCACTGGATGCACTGCCCAATGCACGGGGTGGCATTTACGAAGTGTGCCTCGCCCTGTGCTAGCAGAACGAGGCGCGCCAGGAGGCCATGTTTGCCCAGACCCTGGACAGGCACTTCAAGGATGCGGCGGCAAGGAAGATGATGGCCATGATTGATGAGTGAGCAGTGGGGCGGGGTTGTAGGCAGTCGCGGCAGCGCTTGCATGCTAGTGGTCCTAGCAGGACAGCTTGAGCGCTCGCCGAGGCCTGACGGTCCCGCTTTTGCTGTGCAGGACCACTGACGCAGTGTGTGTGATCAACCTTGAGGTGCTTGTGTTCCCCATTCGTGTGTTGGTCCGCCATCCCTGATGTTGCACATCCAGAGAGCTGCGCCCAGCTGTTCACGTTGGATGCACCTGTTTGCCGCCGCCCCCCGGCGCAGGGTTGGCTACCGCAAGGGCGAGCTGGAGGGCTGCAACGTGTCGCGCATCATGCCTGCGCCCTTCTCGGTGCAGCACGACGGTGGGCATGGCTGCTGTAGGGAGGTGGAGGGGCTGACGTGGCTGCAGGGGCTGACAGTGCTCATGGGAAGGGGCAGGTGGGCTGGGGGAGTGCCCGTACTGGCACCACACCGGAAATGCACCACTGGCTGGCATGCCTGATCCTCCCGCCCCTGCCGCTGTGCTGCAGGCTACCTGCGCAACTATGCAACCTCCCGAGTGGCTCGCATTCTGGACAGCACGCGCGAGGTGGTGGCGCTGCACAAGCAGCGGTTTGTGTTTGGGATCAACCTCTGCGTGACGCCCGTCACACTGGGAGGTGAGCAGCAGGGGTGCACAAATGGAGACGGCTGGTGATGGCAGCAACCAGCTGATCACGGCATTTTCTGGCGCCCTACCGTGCAGGCAGCGAGTGCTTCCTGGGCGTGATCCAGTCCATCAGCGATGACCCGCACGTGGCAACCGCCTACTGCACGGCGGGGGGCACTGTGGTGTGTGTGAGCCGCGGCTTTGGCAACGTGCTGGGTGAGTGCAGCCTGCCCAGGATGGCTGGGACTGCTTGAGGCTGCTGGGGATCTTGCCCCTTGGAGTGTTGGTGGAGATCCTGCCTCCTTGTGCTGCCCACCTGCCCCAGGCTACGCGCCGGAGGATGTCATCGGCAAGGCAAGCGGCTGCTCGCTGGCTGGCACACCGCCTCGATGTGCGGGTGTCGCGCAGCTTCCTGCCGACCCCTGCCATGGCCGCGGCTTGTGTGCTTACACCCCCGCTTGCAGGCCTTCCACACCCTGAGCAACAACACCGAGAAGGCGTCTCAGGTTGTCACACAGATCGTGAATGGCAGTTCGCAGGAGCAGCACGACTTTGGAACGTGAGCACTGTGCTTAGCACGAGTCTGCTTCTGCCTTTCTAGGGGCTCACCCTTTACCCTGCTGCCCTTCCACCATGCAGCATCATCATCTGCTCACGATATGGAGAAGGCGAGCTGCTGTTCTGGCACTAGCTGGCGGCAGCTGTTTTCACTCACCCTCTTGCTGCCAGCCGCCGAGTTGTCTACTGCCCCCTGCCTTCTGGCCTGCCGCTGCTGCTGCAGAGGTCCAGGTGGCGTGCAGCGGCAGCAGGGCAGGCACGGATGCGGTACGCGTCGCCAAGATCCACCTCAGCCACAACGACAGGTTCAGCGGCCTCCTCGTGGTCAACACCGCCTCCTCAAGGGTGGGTGTGCTGCTGGCTGAAGGGACGTGGGTGTGCTGCTGGCTGAAGGGACGTGGGTGTGGCCCCAGGCTGCCGGGAGCCATGCGGCATCATACAGGATCCTCCTGGCCCTTGGCCTGGCCCGCTGACCGCACCGCCTGCAGATCATTTACGCCAACGCCAGCATCAGCGAGCTGCTGGGCTACAGTGGGGAGGAGCTGATCAAGATGAAGCTGCACGAGACCATGCCGGAGCCGTACGCCCAGCTGCACCAGCGCTACATCAAGGGCAGAGGTGGGTAGCCTTGAACTTGAGCACTTCTTTGAACTCCTCAGCAGCCCATGTTGAGGCACCTTGGACCGCCCAGCCTGTCGCTGCCTGCCCATGCAGACCTGTCGCGCTGCCCTGGGCTCAAGTGCCGCTCCGGCCGGGTGGTGGAGTTCAAGGACAAGAGCGGCAAGCTGGTGCCTGCCCTCATGGAGCTGTCAGAGCGCACCACGGATGCAGGTGGGAGTGCTGCTGAACGTGTTATGCCTGCACTCATGTTGTTGCTGCCGCAAAGCTGGCGCCTGCTGCCGCACCCTGCCGCACCCTGCCGCAGGCAACATCTTCTCGGTGAAGGTTGCGCCGGTAGCCAGCAAGGAGGAGGCTGAGTACAACCAAGTGACGCTGACGGTGGACCCACAGGGCGTGGTGGTGGCGCCGCCGCAGGGCAACACCGCCATCCTGGGGCTGGAGCGAGATGTGAGTGCTGCAAGCCGCATGGAAGAGGTGGCTGTCTGTGTGTTTCCATGGGACGCAGGGCTGGCAGCTCATTGTTCAGCCCGCTGCCCCTGAGCTGGTGGCTGTGGTGGTGCAGGAGGTGGCGGGGAAGCCGCTGGACGGCTTCCTGGATGTGTACAGGCGGGACAAGCGCAGCGTGACGGAGGTGCATGCCGACATGCTGGCCAAGACGCGCAGGTGTGAGGGGTGCAGCGGTCAGCCTGCCGAGCCCTGTGATTCGAGGGAACTCCACCACGCTGCTGGTAAGCTGTCACGCAAGTGCTTGCCGCGCACGCTGCTGTGTGCAGCAAGGAGGTCAGCTCCTGGCGCATAGCTGCCGCGGTGCGCGGCAAGCGCTCAGTGCCCTGCGTGCTCGTCATCGTGCTGCCTGAGGAGGGCGAGGAGGGCAGGGCCAGCGGCGGACAGCAGCCCGCCGCCATGCACCTGTACAGAGCAGGTGGGAGGGTTGGGACTGGAGTGAGGCGTGGCATGAGATGCGTGAATTGTGGTCTGAAGCCTTAGAATGGCGAAGGCCGATGCCGCCTTGCATCACAAGCTGCGACCTGTTTAGCACCGCGTGGCTGCAGATTATTTGGAGGGCACTGTGGAGCTGGACTCGAGCTGCAAGATCAAGAAGGTGTCGGAGGAGGCGGCTCTCATTTTTGGGGTGCCAGCTGCGTCGCTGGTGGGCGAACACATCCAGAAGGTGAGCAGGCACCCTTGGCAGCACAGCAGCTCCTGCCATTGTGGGCAAGGTAGCGATTCGCGCATGTCATCGTGCCTCGCTGCGTCTTGCTCCTGTCCCCGCAGATCATGCCGCGCGTGTGCCCCAACGGCAAATCCTCTGAGCTGCTAGTGGGGCGCGGCCAGAAGGGCGGCAGCAAGCGCAGCATCGGCGCCGTCACCACCGCCGAGGCGGTGCATGTTGATGGGCGCAGCCTGCATGTGACGGTGCAGGCTGCTGAGTCGGCAGAGCGGCCCGGCAGGCAAGAACTGTGTGATGGGCATGGCTGGGGCTGCGAAGTCTTGCACATGCGAGCCTCTTCTGCGGGTGCAACCACCGGTCTGGCCTCGGCAGGTCTACTGGAAGAGAGGAAGGTCCAGTCAGTCATTTCTACTCCATCCAACTGCAGGTTCCTTGCCCGAATCATCATACCCCGGCCCACCAGTGCGGTCACCTCTGGCACGGCAGACCAGCTGCCTGGCGGCTTGGTCGCGGAACAACGCTGGACTGCGGCAGCAGCTGCCACCGCTGGCGGCATCATGCAGCCTGCCGTGTACCAGGCTGCCCTGGCACAGCATGCGGGCGAGGCCGAGGGTGGTGCTGCCGCTGTCAACCCGCCGCCCGGCTGCCCGTTCCACCGCGCCATGAGCGGCGGCAGCTCGGTGCTGCAGCGCCTGGGCGTGGGCGGCAGCAGGCCAGCATCGCCTGGGGCAACTGCAGCTGGCATGGTGCCCAAGTCGCCCCTTGTGGGCTCAGGTGCGCCGGCTGACTCTGGGGCTTGGAAGCGTGAATCCCTGCCAACAGAGTGAATGCACAGCTAAGAGACGCTGTGCTGCCTGGCCGCAGGCTGTCCCGTGAACCGCGACACATCTGGCGTGCTGGCGGGCCTGCATTTCCCGCGGACCAGCCAGTTTGCGGTCCCCTGCGTGGCAGCGCAGGCCGCTGGCGAGGTTGCTGCCGCCGTGCAGGCGGGCAGCCGGTTCACGCACTCGGCTGGCAACCAGAGTCAGGGGGCCACCCAGGGCGGGGCCAGCGTGTGCCCCCTGGGCTTCCATCAGACCACTGAGGGTGATGATGTGGCCGGCAAGGGCTCGGCTGGGAGTTCAGAGCGCACCATGAGCATCAGCAGCCAGGTGGGCAGGCATCAAAGGCTCCTGCTGTTGACGGAGGGCAGCTGCGGGACTCACCTGCTCAAAAATGCACGGTGATCGCTTTGCCTGTGCGCTGCAGGGCGATGAGCAGGCGGAGCAGGCAGGCAGCGAGGGAGCTGCGGCTGGTGGCGGCGAGGAGGATGAGGTGGACCCCGCTGAGCTGGCGGCCAAGATGGCACGCATCCAGGTGGGCACGAGTGGTGCTGCTCACTGATGGCATTGACAAGGCTGGCTGGGGAGGTTTGGGAGCTGAGATTGTGCTGCTGGGTTGCTGCCATGGACACTCCGCAGAGCTGGCTCAGTGGGCAGCGAGAGGGGGCGGATGAGGAGGCGGGCGGCGGCACCATCGCGGCTCACACCCGCGTCAAGTCTGGAGAGCTCGTGGCTGCGCCACACAGCCGCCCCGGCACCGGCAAGCAGCCGCTGGCGCAGCTGCCGGATGTGAAGCTTGCGGTGGAGGGGGATGGGCCGCCCAGGCAGCTGCACAGGGCCGGTTCCGCCAGCAGTCTGGGCGACTCTGATGCCACATCGAATGTGAGCTGGACCTGATGGCTGCTGGGTTTGCCGACATAGTTCAGGCAGGCTGCACTGCATTGGCACAGTTCCAGCTTGACTACGTGCGTTTCAACCATCCCTGGCTTGCCTCCTGTGCCGCCCCTCGCCCGCAGGTGGACAGCAGCAACGCCGAGGAGGAGGATGCCGCGGCCGACTTTGGCCGCCTGAAGCGCTTCAAGAAAGCCTTCCAGCTGCTCAACACCTCACGCAACAGGCGCGCCATCAACGCGCTGCAGGTAGGGCGAACCTTCCAGTGGTGCTGTGCATACCTGACATCGCACTGGTGGCGGGCTGCTGCGGCATCCAAGGCTGGTGATGCCTGCTGCCCGCTGCCTGCAGGCGCAGCTCAAGTGGCTGCTGGCGCTGCTGGTGGTAGCGCACGCCGCCTGCTTTGCGGTCACCTACATCATGCTGGACAGCTCCTTGGTGTATGTGCAGCAGATCGACCTGGCGGGTGAGCATCGCGGGAGGCCACCTTCAAGGAGTGTCACTGGGAGTGGACCAGTGCTGGTGCTGCTGCTGCTGCTGCGCCAGCGGCGACGGCGGCAGCTGCACGCACACAAAGCCTGGCGCCCTGCCCTGCCTGCCGAGCCCTCTGCAGGCCAGGCGGCCCGCAACTCCATATCGGCGCTGACAGATGCGCGCAACATTCAGTATGCGGGCGTGGAGATGGCGGAGTTTGGGGAGGTGCAGCTGTTCCCCCCACAGAACGTGTCGGGTGAGGGGAAGGAGGCTGGAGGCACCGTAGAGGTGGGCATCGAGTCATGTGCGTTATGCTGAATGCTAACCTCACACTAACTGCAGCCGCCATCCTCCTGTCCAAGATCGAGCTGTTTGAGGAGGTCCAGGAGCGGCTGTACTTCCAACGTGAGTGTGGCGGGAATGGGCAAAACCGGCTTGCTGCAGCCGCCGTCAGCCCAGCCATGGCTCCAGGCAGCCCCCCTGTTCGGAACCCTCCCCATCGCCGTGCAGGCTCCAGGGCGGCAGCAGACACGCGGGCCTTCTACCAGGAGACCAGGGTCAACGTGACCGAGGTGAGGCAGCCAGCAGCTTTGGACAGCTGGAACAGCTGGGGTCGTACGCCGTGTGCACAGCCAGCTGCCTGCCCACTGGCGCTCCAACAAGTCAATGCCGGAATCCACTGCAGTATGCTGACACGCTGCACGGAGTGGAGAGCTTCACGGTGGAGATGAACATGTGGGACAGCAGCCAGCGTGCGCTCGACTCGTTCAGATCAGTGGCAGGTGTGTGCGCTATAGCTAGGGTGTGTGGCGGCGCAGGCGGTGCTGCCCACCACCTATGCGCAGGCGCCCAGCTGCCGGTGGTGCTGCAGCAACAGGATGGATGCCGTAGGCAGCTATGCTGCGTGGCAGGCGCCAGCCGTATGCCGCGCCTGCTGCCGCGCCCTGCTGCCCACTGACCTGAAGAGCATCCACCCCGCAGCGCTGCCTGAGAAGTATGTGTACAACATGACCATCTACCCGGAGTGGCTCTTCCTCATCAACAACGTACCGGAAATCATCTCCAGTGAGCGGGCTGGCAGCACTGCGGGGTGGCAGCGTGCAGCAGCGCCCAGCACTCTCGCTTGCAGCCAGGGTGCCCGCCCGGCTTCTCGAGAGCAGGCGAGACCCGCTCCGAGCTTCGCTGCTTCTGCGCCGCGTCCCCGCTGTGAGCCTCATCTTTGCCACCGACCTCCAGACGCGCCTGGCAGTGTCGCGGCTTGGATCCATCGTCGCCGCCACCTGGGGCCTGCTGGGGGGCGAGGGCGTGTTCATCCCGATGGTCGCCGCCTACCTCTTCTGGTGGGGTGCAAGGAGCAGGCCCACAGCGACACGGCACGACTGCCGGGCCTGCGCCCAGTCCAACACAGTCCTTGCGTGTATATGCAGGCTGCTGCGAGCGGTGGCGCTGGAGCGCTTCAGCCTGTTTGCCCTCTTCCTCTACATCCCTCGCCCGGCGGTGCTGGCGCAGGCCAGGTGGGGGCTGCCGCTGGATCACAGATGTGGCGGGGCAGAGGCCACCCTGGTGAAACTTGAAATCTGCGATGCTCAGCCGGTGGTGGTGATGCTGCCTGGCATGCAGGGCGCAGGTGGAGGCAGACGAGCTTGACCATGACTCAGACGACGACGACGATGCAGAGGCAAGCAACAGCTTCGCCCAGCTTGGCCGCGACGCTGTGCACTTTAGCCCAATGGAACCATTGCTGCTGTGCATACTCACACATCCCTTCCGCCTCCTGCTGGTGCAGGGGCAGGCAGCCGGAGCGGCGGGCGCCGTCAGCATGCAACTCAGCGCGCGCACGCTGGCGCTGCGTGCCGCCCAGGATCGCATCGCCATGACGCGGCGGCGGCTGTGGGCCATGATGAGCCCCCTGGCGGTGTGGCTGGCCCTGGTGGCCCTCGTCTGGCTGCTGCAGTACTACTGGATCAGCAGCGCCGAGGAGCGGGTGCTGGGTGAGCAGGTGGCAGTGGTTCGAGCGCGGTGGCAGGCAGGAGGGTGCACCGACGTGACCAGCTGCCGACAGAGTATGCCCGCCAACCACCCGTGCCCGCCTGACTCCCTGACGGTGGCTGCTGACCGCCCGCCTTTCTGCAGGCCTGAATGCCAGCGAGCGCCTGTTTATCTACAATGCACGGTTTGTGGAAGCTTTGGGTGCACCGCTCCAGTGATCTGCGCCGCTGCAGCACAAGGCATGGCCCCATTGCCTGCACAGCACCCTGCTCCCACCCAGCGCTCCCTCTGCCCTGCATGTGCTCTTGCTGGCCCTCACGCAGTGCCCGCTTCTTTGCCAACGAGCTGACGGTGGAGGGCAACCACCTGGCGGCAGACAACGACATCACCCTGGCCCTTCGCGCCGAGCTGGTGTGTGGGTGGTGGCGGCGGTTGTGGCTGGGTGTTGTGGGATGCTCCCTGCCTGCCCTCAGAAGGACAGGCGCCCTGCTGCTGTGCAGGAGCGCGCATCTGTGCGCCTCAAGTTCTACAGTGACACCATCCTGGTGGGTGGACGACAGCTGCGGCGTGCTGCCGCTGTGCGTCCTCGCGGCCATGTCCCTGCCAAGGCCTTGCTGGCAGCGCGCTGTTTTGACGGTTGGCGCCCGCCCCGGCGTGCAGTACGGCTCCTACAACCCGTACCGCCCGCTGGACAACGCCGCCAACAACCTGGCGCGCATGACCTTCAAGGGCACCCTGTTCTCCAACCCCGGCCGCAACAAGCTGCTGTTTGAGCAGCACGTGTGCCACAGGTGGGCGGGCGGGCGCTGGGTTGAGCTGGAAGGCGCACACTGAGCTTCCCTCATGCGGGCCGATGGTATGGCCAGAATACGGTGTGCCAGCTGCACTGGTTGAGACTGCTGAAACCTCGTGCTTTTGGTTGTTTCGTTGTTGTAAAAATCAAGCCTGGCCTCTCATGCCACGGTGCTGCAGGGAGGACGCGTCCACCTGCCTGCCCCCAAGCGACTACGCCTACTACACCTCCCAGATGGGCCTGGACACGTACCTGACGTCCATGGTGGAGGCCAGCCACCTGCTGGCGCGGGAGGACATCGCGGCCATCTCCGTCAACCACCCCGTCGTGAGATCTCTAGAGGCGACACGACCTGGACGCAGCATGACTGTCTGGAAGGCTGCCGGTGCTCGCTGGCATGACGCAGTGACCAGTGCTGGTGCGGTACGGTGCCCGGTGCAGGTGCGGTACATGCGGGACGTGGCGGTCCAGGACGGGATCGCCATGCTGATGAAGGGCAACCAGATCTTCATGTACATCGCCAACGTGAGGGCAGCGCTGGGGGCGCGGCCGCCGCTGCTCGCTCACCTCGCTGCGCGGCGCTGCGCTGTGCTGTGCTGTGCCGTGCCGTGCTGTGCTGTGCTGTGCTGTACTGTGCTGGTCACTGAATCACCGGTGCTCTCTTGCCTTCCTGCCTCCATGGAACTCCTGGCTGACAGTTTAAGTACACCAAAGGTGAGGGCGGGTGCGGCTGCTGCTGGGAAGGCTGCTGCCTCTGCTGGGATGCCGCGGCGGCGCCGCTGCCTCTCACCAGCTTGTCCCCGCCTGGCGCTGCAGTCCTGCAAGGCTGCGCGCTGGGCTTTGCGATCGCGGGCGCCCTGGCCTTCCTCTACTTTGTCGCAAGGGTGAGACAGCGCTGGGCGGGCTGTGGCGGGGATGTGGCTGGGCTGGCCCTGTCACGCCCCATGCATGCTCCTTGTGCCTGGCCCTGCCTGACCCCTCTCCTCCTGCGCCCCCTGCAGCCCTACTTCCGCGCCACGCAGCAGGAGGCGCGCAAGGTGGCCGAGGTGCTGAGCCACCTGCAGGGAGTGGACTTTGGGGCGCTGATGGACGCGGCAGCAGGCGGCGGCGGCGGCGGCGGCATCGCGGTGGGCCGCTCCAGGTCGCAGTCGAGCGACGGAACCCAGGAGAGCAGCTGAGCAACCGAGGCAGCAGTGATGCCAGCGCTCTCCCCATACTTGCTTTTCTAGATGCCACAACAAAGTCAGATGATCCTGCCAAGTTTTGCAGCACTGCAAATGTGCTTGACAACCACGCAACACTTGCCGTGATCCCCCAACCAATCACCCACCCCTGCTACTGTCTTATGCCTGCGGCGCTCCCTGTATGGTTGCTGGCTCCACGTTACACACCCCTGACACAGTCGCCTGCCTGTCACAGCCGCTAGCGGGTGAGGCGCCGCCGGTGCTCCGCCTCCGCCGCCTCCCAGCTGCCCCAGCGATCCACCGCTGCACGGCGCGCATCCAGCCGCCGGTACAGGTGCATGGGCTGGAAGGCGGGGTCCACAGGGTTGGGATCCACACAGCGCGGGAGTGGGGCCAGGTCTGCGGGAGGGAGCAGGGGCGCGGGAGGGTGGCACCAGAGCCAGCAGGCAACAGGGGCTCCACCAGGGATGTCCCACCCCTGGGCACGCGCTGCCGCCCCTTCACGCTGCACCGCACCTGCATCCCTGAGGCAGCACTTGCGCTTGGCGGCCGACGCCGACAGCAGGCGGTGGTGTGGGCGGGGGGTGACGTAGGCGGCGGAGCAGGCGCGGCACAGGCGCACCCGCAGCGTGCCGGCCCCCAGGGTGTGGCGCTCGGTGGGCTGGAAGCAGTCGAAGCAGCTGCGCTGGTACTGCTGGCGGTACCAATTCCGCCAGTCGATGCCGGGCTGCTGCTGCTGTCCTTGCTGCTGCTGCTGCTGCTGCTGCTGCTGCTGGGCCGCCCCTGCGGCCGCGCCCGCCCCACCCGGCTGGCCCCAGCCTCGCAGCTTGCACTGCTGCTCCCACAGGCCCTGTGCATCTGCCGCCGAGCCCACGGCACGCCACGCCTTGCAGGCTTGCAGCGCGCAGAACAGCGTGTCGTGGTCCAGGTGGCGAAACACGGCGGGCAGGCAGTCGGGCGGCAGGTCTGGCGCGCCGGCGGGCCCGACACCGGCGTCGGGAAGCTGGCCCTGCACAGCACCGGCACCAGGTGCAGCAGCGGAGTTTCAGGGCCTGGCTGCAGGCAAGCCGACAGCTCTCTCCAGTGAGAGCCCCAAAGCTGCCGGGGCCGGGCCCGCACCTGCTCCTCCAAGACCTCCAGCGCCCTCCGCGTCACCGCTGATCGGTGCACCTTGACGGCGGCATGCGGCATGCCCAGGTCCTCTGTCAGCCAAGCCAGCAGCAGGGCGGGAGTGACGGTGGCGGCGTGCTGCAGGATCGACTGGCGACGTGCCTCCACCGCAGCCAGCGCTTCTGCCTCTGTCACCTGCGGGCGGCCGCGCGGGCGGTGCCGCCGTGGGGGGTCCAGTCAGGCGGGGAGGCGGGGAGTGGACCCTAAGCTCATCCTGACCACGCCCAACCTGCTCTGCAGTCCCATCGACAGGGCTCGGGGGTGCGGCAGGGCGCTCGGCAGTCTCTTCGCCCGCCCTCTGGTTCTTGGCCGCTCTTTTGCGGACCATCGAGTGAGGAATCGAAGTGCAAACCTTACACTCACGTTATTTAACGGGCAAATGCCCCGTTGCCTTGAAGTCCTTCCCTGCCCCCCTGGCGCCAGCGAGCCCGGCGCATGGCCCCGCCCATCTCCTCCTCGTGCCACAAACGGGACGCTGAGCAGGTTAAAAAATCTTCTCGGTGAGGTTTTGGTGAGTATAAAATTGAACAAGCGTGCGAATACGCAACAAAAAATCCCGGCTGCTGCTTGAACCCGCGCGCACTCGCCGCGGGCCGCGGGCCGGGCCCCGCCGCGAATCACACGGGCGGGCCCTGCCCCGGCCCCCGGCGCATCGCCGGCGCGCGCGGACGCCTCCAACGCCGCGTGCACACGCCACGCGCGCCTGCTGCTGCTGCTGCTGCCGGCAGCGGCCGCGGCTCGCCGCCGCCGCCGCCGCGGCTGCTGGGTCGGGCGCGCCTACACGCGCACGCCCTCTGGCAGCACCCGCCCCAGAATGTCGGCAGACAGCTTGTCCACCTGCGCATCCAGGCCCTTCATGGCCGCCGCCTTCTCCGCCTCCAGCGTCGCCAGCGCGCGAGACAGCTCGGCATCCACCTTCTGCGCCAGGGCACGGGGCAGGGGGCGGGGCGGGGCCCAGGGGACGCCGGTGAGCAAGTGCTCCCCAGCCTGGTGCGCGCGAGGCAAGAGCGCAGCGCACCAGCCGCAGGCTCCCAGGCACCAGGCATGCAATCGCCCTGGCCCCGGGGCAGCCGCGGCCATGCCCAGCCACTCCCAGCCACGCCAGCCAGCCAGCCAGCAGCTGCGCCCCCAGCCAGCCAGCTGCGCCGCCAGGCAGCCCCAGCCACGCCAGCCGCGCCAGCCAGCCAGCCAGCGGCAGCCGCAGCCACGCACCGCCTTGGCCTCCGCCAGCTCCTTGGCGCACTCGGCCGACACGACCGCCTTGGCCTCCGCCACCTGCTTCTGCGCGGCGGCGTGCGCGTCGGTGATGATGCGCTGCGCCTCCTCCTGCAGCCGCGCAATCTGCAGGGGGGCGGGGGGCGGGGCGCGGGGGGGAGAGGGCAGGCCAGGCGGGGTCGGGCCGGGCCAGGCAGAGGACGTGGAGGGGTGGGGCAGGGGCGGCCCAGGCTGACACATGGGGCCGCTGGCTGCACCGTGCGCACGAGTGCTCCTGGGTGGCGTCTGCTGGCTGGCTGGCAGACTGCTGCCTGCCTGCCTGCCTGTCTCATGGTGCCCATTTCCCAGCCAATTGCCAGCAGCGAGGGTGAAACGGCCGCGTGTGTTGTTGCCACAGGTCGAGATGCCTAGCAGCCAGCCACCCCTACTTTCCCAGCCGCACCAAGGCTGCCTGTGGTGTGCTTGTTGTGCCTGCCGCCCCGCGACTGTGCTGTTGCGCTGCCATTGCTGCTGCCGCTGACTCTGTAGCGCAGCTGAGCCCCCGCTGCTGCTGGAAACAACTGCCTGGTGAGTGAAACCGCCGCCGCCCAAACCTCGCCAGCTGACCCGCCCCCGCTACGTCTCCCACACCGGCCCACCCCTGCCAGCGGCCTCGCTGCGTGGCCTGCGCCGTCGAGCGTGCAGCACGCCCACCCACCTCTGCGCCGTTGCCCTTCACCAGGCCCAGCTTGCCGCGCAGCTCCGCGTCACGCGCGTCCAGCACGGCGCCCACGGGCCCAAACCAAAACTTGTCCAGGAACACCATCAGCAGCAGGAACTCGCCCACCATGATGGGCAGGGTGAAGTTGAAGTCTGCGCCGGGGAGGGCAGGGAGGGCAGGGCTGAGGGAGCGCAGGCGAGGCCGGCCAGGCCCGCCGCCCCCGCCCCACGTCGGGCGGCCTCGCCGCCCGCTGCAGGCCTCCTGGCCGCCAATGCGCCGGACCAGCCGCTTGCTACGGCGCTCCTGCGGTGCTGGGGGCCGCGCCAGGGCGCCCAGGCGACTGCGCAGGGCTGCTGCAGAGCCCTGGCTCACCGAAAATCTTGCCGGCCTCGGCATGGGCGGGCATGGACAGGATGACGTTGGACAGCGCGGTCAGGGCGGCCGGCTTCACAATGGCGGGCAGCTCACTGCAGGGATGGGCGCGGCGGGTGCAAGGGGGTGACTGGCGCACAGGCCCTCCCCGGTCGCCCCAAACGCATTACTCACAGCTTGACGGGCGCCTGCTTGGGCTGGGCGGCGCACAGGACCACCCGGCGGGCGGCCTGGCGGCTGGCCGTGAAGGCCGCAGCGGGCCGGGCAAGAGTGAGCGCCTGCATCCTTCCGCCTGGCGACCTTCGGGAGGAGAGGGCTCTTGGGAGGTGTGGGCAGGCGCGGGAGCGCTTTTCACGGTGGGCGCCCTTATCCGACCCTGAACGCCAGCTCGGCCAGTTTCGCCCGAGGGACTTGCAGCAGCCTCGATCGGGTGATCACCTCGATTGCAGGATGTACGCCCACCTATGAGTGCCTTGTCGCTGCTCAAGGCGATCATCTCCATTGCACGTGCGGCGCCTCTCCCCTCTCGCCCAGCACAGCGCCACACCCATAGACATGGAACAATTTGCAGGCAAATGCAAATTGTTCAGCGATCCAGCCTCACGGGACAAGTCGATGGTCGCTGCTGAGTGGGCGGCCGCGGCGGTGGTGGAGACGCGGCAGCGGTGCGGAGCTTCATTGGTGCTCTACATCGATACAGCCTAAATTGCGGCTTTGCTGCTGCGCCAGCCACTTGACAGTCGGCGGCCACGTTGCGCCGAGCCGTGACCACACTCGTTCTCACCTGCTCATCATCAAAAGCGGCGGCAGCCATCACCGCCGCTGCCCTGCCGCCACCCGGCTTCAAGTTCAGCTGCAGCATTATAATGACCTGCTGGGGGGCACAGCCACAGTGCCAATGCTGCGCCGCTGCAGTATATGCCACAATAACAACACAGGATCAGGATCTAGACGCCAGTCTAGTCATGTGAAGGCAGCACCGCCCGCTCCCCCCCCCCCTCGCTCCATGCATGCACCGCCCACGATCGATCTATGATGCAAATCCCGCTCGTCACTTTGCCTCATCCGTGCTGCTACTGTGAGCTGTATCATCAAAGATGGGCAGAGGACCGAGACGAGGACGAGGCGGCGGGCGGGGTGGGGTGAGTGCTGGGGGTGTGGCGTGCGCTTTCACAGCTGCATCGATGCACCATACGCCATGCTATATTCAGCCCGGCGCTCCGGCACGGGCGGTGCATGCGGGGGGAGTGCAGCAGTTGGCCGCGCCTGGAGTGCTCTAGAGCGACAGCAGCAGCATGATTTGGGTATTGCTGGCTGGACGGATGGAGTGGCACCGGCTGGGCCGGCATAACCTTGCCTCCCCACCTCCGCCGCCTGCCGCCGCCTCCCATCACCCGCCGCCCGCGCCGCCGCCCGAGCTGAGCCAGCCCACACCGTGCACTGCAGAAGCGCCAGCACAGCGGTGATGGTGACGGCGGCGGCGGCAGCGAGGCGCGCAACGTGCGCCCCCGCACCGACGCCTGGCGCCTGCCCGGCGACATTGAGAGCAGCGGGCTGTTTGAGGCGTACTATCAGGGGCAGGGCGTCTGCCCGCCAGAGGTGCGCCGCGGCACCTGCACGGCCGCGGGCAGCCCGCAGTGCCGCGAATGGGGCGCTGGTTGCGCGGTGCCTGGGCTGCCTACATACAGAGCGCGGCGCTGAGCAGTAGCCCACGAGGCACCGGGCTGGGCGGCTGACTGTGCACCCACATACACCTACCCACCACACACACGCGCACACACCCCGCAGGAGTGGGATGCTTTCATCCTGGCCCTCAAGACCCCGCTGCCCATCACCTTCCGCATCAACGGCCGCGGCCAGCACGCCGACCGGCTGCGCGAGAAGCTGGAAACAGACTTCATGGCGCAGTTCAGCGCGGGGCAGCCGCTGGTGGTGCGTGGCTGGCGCCGCGGGCGCTGGCCGGCCGCGCGGCAGGCCGCCACGTAGCAGGCCACCGCCTGCATGCCGCAGCCATCGCCGCCGCCAGGCTGCCGCTGCCGTGCCTGCTCCGCCTGCCGCGCCGGCCTGCGTGTGGGCAGAGCCGCTGCCGCTGCCGAGCCGAGCGGCGGCGAGCCGGAGCGGGCGCTCACGGCCTCCCTGCCGCATTGCTGCCCCGCTGCAGATTGATGGCGAGCCGGTGGAGGCGCCGCACCCGCTGGACTGGTACCCCGACAACCTGGCCTGGCAAATGAACTTCTCCCGCTCGCAGGTGGGGACACGCTGGGGCCTGCCCGCTGTGCCTGCTGTGCATGATGTGCATGCCGTGCATGCCGGCCTGGTGACAGATGATTGTTCGCTATGTGGCGACGGACAGCAGCGCGGCCGCCGTGAGCGGGCGCAGCCGTGCCTGCTGGCGGCGGCCACGCGCCGCGACGTGCGCCCATCGCGCGCGCCGCCGCCGCCGCCCGCCGCCCCCTTCCCTGCAGCTGCGCAAGCAGCCGGTGCTGGAGGCGCTGCACGAGTTCATCAAGCGGGAGAACGAGGTGCGTGCTGGGCGCCAGCCTGGCAGACCGCGCGCGCGGGGCTCGCAGGCAGCGGTGTGCCGACCGCTAGGCGCCCCCTCCTCTCCCCATCTTTCGGGTCCGGGTCGCTGCCTGATGCCTGCCCGCATTATCTAACGCACCACCCCTGCCTGCCTGCCCCCTCCTGCCCCGCTCCCGCTTGCCCCTGACAGACCGGCTCCATCACGCGGCAGGAGGCTGTATCCATGGTGCCGCCGCTCTTCCTGGATGTGGAGGTGAAGGGGGGGTGGGGGTGGGGCTGGTGGGGCTGGTGGTGGTGGGTGAGGCGGCCATCAGGGCCACGAGGGCCGCAGAGTGGCAGCGGCGGGAGCCGGCGGGGGCTGCAAGGGCTGCCGGCAGCCACGGCTCGTGCACCGCGGCGGCGCGTCCTGCGTCGCCGCACGTTGCCGGTGCAGCCACGGCTGCCACGAGTCTGTTTTGCAAGCACGCTTTGGTGACCGACTGTTGCTGCCGCCCCTGTCCCTGCCCCCCCGCTTGCAGCCCCACCACTGGGTGCTCGACATGTGCGCCGCCCCCGGCTCCAAGACCTTCCAGCTGCTGGAGGCGCTGCACGCGGGTGGGCGGCGGCGGCGGCCGGGCATGAACCCCTGAGGGGGGCGTGCAGGCGGCGGCAAAACAGGCCGGCTGGCTGCTGCTGCTCGGGAGCGGCGCCCTGCGCGGCGGCCCCGGCGCCTCGCCCCGCCGCGCGGCCGCTGGCGTCCCCTGGCTGCCCCCGCTGCCCTACTAGC